TTATCAGAAGTTAGGAGAAACCTGTAAGAGAGCATTGATTGTTAAAGCATGAATCCAGATTCTCTGACAGGAGACGATGGGACAGCTTACAACAGTTTTACAACAGTTCCTAGTTGCACTGATACTTTGGTTTAGCGAAAGACAAGAATCCCATTCTTTTTTCTTTCTGTTTTGATCTGCTCATTACTGTTCCTTACTTTGCAGAATAAAAAGGTGTGATGTGAGATTCTTAAATCTGATTCGTTGTGTCCGTATCAGTTCATAGAAGGGCAAAGCATGGGAAAGCAGAATCTGGCAAGCAGCTGGCATGTTCTGTTATATTTATGGGTTTTTTGTAAGATTGTCTGCCAGAAATGACCATACTCAAAAAAGATGCTCAGATAGAAGTTATTGAACACACTTCTTGCAGAAACAGAGTGATTGTTGATACTTTCTATCTTTTACAGAAAGTAGAATAAATAATTTGCTATACAAGTTGGCCACAACAAAGCATCTTGAGACATCTCACAGAAGAAAAGAAGTTTGATTTGAGAGCTGTTTGATGCTTAAGACCAAAATCTTAGGAAGAGGAATTGCCATTAAATATGTTTTATATAGTTTAAATTAATGAACTTTATTTAGCATGGGAGAAATTATTGTTGTATTGCTGATAACTTTTAGAATAAGGTGGGTCCCACTGGTTCTGCTTTTTAATGACAAACTTCTAATTTGAACAGAGCATCTCAATTGAAAAACAAACGTGTCTTTTTGCAGACTTCTATTTTCTCCCACAGTGGCTCCTTGCCTAATCTTCAGTCTTGGTTGGAGGCTGTTAATGAATGTGGCATTCTCTGTAAGGCATATGTTTATGCTATCTGGGCCATCTTGTGATTGCTGTCTTCTCTTTGTTAAAGGTCAGTAGGATTGGCTTTGCTGTAGAAATAGTTGATTGCTCCATAGATAGCACAAAGTGAAGAGCAGTGATGGTTTGGATCAAAGCAGCTGTGCAATGAAGAATGTTGTCCAGGTGTGCTGAGCTGTGAAAGTTTACCCTCTTAATGTGGATGGGTTAGTGTATATGTGGGAGAGAGGAGAAGCAGACAGTTGTGGTTTTGTTTCTTTTTACATATTTTGAGATTCAACACGTGCTCAGGGTAACCAACTGAAACACATGGCATTTGGTTGTGTTGTGTTAAGGCCCGTGGGAAAATATGAGAAGAAGAAATACCTGAGCAGCAGTCACCTGAGAGAGCAGCACAAAACTTTACTGAATTTAAAATGCCAAAATAAAGCTGCATCACTGTCATAGATGTATTTGATGCATGCATGGAGAACATGATCTGTAAGCAGTAAGTCTTACTAAGCAGGTTAGATTTTGTGCAGTTAGTAACCTTACTTTGTGTGTTGATGTTAACAAAGCATTGCAAGAAAAAGCTGAGAACTTCGAAGTATTGAGCTGTTTTAAACCTCCAGCTGGAAAAAGGAATGCTTGAAGATAATTACTTTATGTTTTGAGAATCGGTTGGCTTCCAATTTCTGTTTTTTTGGTTAAATGATTGCTTTTCCGTGAAAAGTAATTGGTTCCATGTTTGGACTATGGATAGATTCCAAAAACAATTTTAGAGTTTAAGTTTTAAATCTTGTCATTAATTTTATGGAGGTTTGGGCTTTTTTTTGCTTTTAAAACAGATTATTAATATTGAAGAGTAATCTACAAGATTTGTGTTTTTAGCATCTTCTTGGTGTGATTGGTTTTTGATCCAGTTATTTCTGAGATCAAGGCCAATGTTGATAAACCGGTATTTGTAAAACGTTGAAATTTTAGGGTAATTTCTACTATATGGGAAGACTTGATTTATTATAGAGAGTTTGCTGCTTTGGGGACCCTTCCATATGATGTGTTACTGAGAAATGAAGTAGAATAATGCCTGTTTTCTCCTGTGAAGGTACTACAGTTACTTAGCAGACCACAGGTGGCAGTACTTTCTGTTGAAAAAAATATTTTCAACTCTTAGCCAGTAGAAAGATGAGAAATTAAACAGCTTTGATTGTGTAACTTCATGAATAACTGCAGGAGTTGAATCTTTCATGTGAAGACTGAGTTCCATTATAGCAGAGCAGGTGGGTTCTGAAGCAATTCCAAATGTATTGCAGGTAACAAAGTAGTCCTCAGAGGTCTGAAATTAATCAGTTTCTCTTAGCTGATCAACCAGGTAACTTCAGGAGGTTACCCTTTTCAGAAGGTCTGAATCTAGCTACTCCTTACTTGTTTTTCAGAACTATTTTTTTGTGTGAAGGGAAAGCAGCTTGTTAGGCACAATTGTATTGAAGTGACTTTACTTTCAGTTGGCCTCTGGAACATTTCCTGCAAAACAGGTCAGAATGTATCTGTAATAAGATATGATTCTGTTTTTTTTAAGCTATATAGTATTCCTGGTTTTATTTCCTGTTTTTACTTTGTGTATCACCAATAAGAGTTGGTTGGGTCAGGGTTTGGTTTTTTTTGTGTGTGTAGTGGGAGGGTGTCAGGGTAATAGACAGCAAAGGAAATAGGGTAAAGTTAAAAAATCCAGACAAATAATTGACTATAGCCTTGACTGTTGCAGTGCTAATGTTTTTAATAGTCTATGTTTTATAATAAAGTGTAGATCTTAAAAAAAAAAAAAAAAAAAGTAAATAAATTATGCACCCTTTTTAGATACAGGTGTTATCACTCTGCTGTATAGGTTCCTATGCCTGTGCAGCAGTTCATTTCAGCTTGTTGGCTCTTTGTATTAGTATTGGAAATACCTATTCCTTTGTGTTACTGTTGCAATACTAGGTTTACAGAAATTTATTTGACAAGTGGGAAAATGTCTACCCATTGTAATCATGTAACTTCATTTCCAGATCTTCAGTTCATTAGCCAACTTGGCTAAAACCTATAAAATGTACCAGTTCTGTTCACTTTGAAGTTTTAGTAGCATTTCTGTTGTTGTTGGCAAAGTTTCCACTGTTAGTATTGTGTTCCCTGGAGAGAATATGTAGCTTGCAAGAAATCTTACTGGTATGCGGACAGTAATACCCCAGGCTTTGTATTATTCTGTGTTGGCCATAATAGTTTTATGTCTATTTCCATTTGACATCTAAATCACTAATTTGTTGGAATCACTGTTTTCTTTTTTACAACCCTCTGTTTTCAGACTGCACATGAAAACAAAATTATTTATTAGCAGAGATTAATTTGAACATTGAAATTACTTCAGTTGTCCCGGAGAGATGATTTTAGTGCTCTTATTTCCATGAGAGTTTCTTTTAAAAGAAAAATCTGTTCTGAATGAGTGGAAGGTGGGATGACAGAAGTGCTCTTGCATCCTTAAGCAAAATGGTGTGTGTAAAACAGACTTTGATTGTATTAAGCTGCAAAGAAGACAAGATGCTTGTTCATTCATCACTTTTGTGGGAGTAATATACTGCATGCATCATCTGACTACTTTATCTCTTTCTGGCTTTGAGAACTTCTGATTACACTATTCCTGATTGACTGTATTTCACTTAAAAAAAAAACCAACCCAAAATGAAAAAGATGTATAACTGTGGAGAATTGACTTCTTTGTAATAGAAGATCAGATATCAAATGTAAGTTGATACTTAGAGTGCAGCAAAGGTGATATGTTGATACTGGCATGAGTGGAATTGTGTTTGTTCGACTTTCAGGTATTGCTAGAGCTGTTTTGTCTTCAGCGTGGCTTTTGTTGTAAATCCCAACAGAGAATATTTGTATGTTAAAAACAGGTTTAGGTCATAGTGTCAGAATAATCTTGCAATAAAATGGGAAGTTTTCTGCCAGTTTGGTATGAAAAAAGGCTGTTTTGGGCTCTGATGAGGAGACAATAAATACATCTGGATTGCCGTTTCCTTACCAGTTCTTCCCTTTTTCCCATTGATGGGAAAATTCGCAGGAATTACATCACTGATACTTGGAAGACCTGCAAGGCATCTTTTCTTCCCACCTATAATCAGTTTTCCTGATTTAGAGATGAAACAGCTGTTAGTACAGATTCATCCTTCATCTAAATACTGAGTGGGAGGGTAAAAGCATTATCTGCTGCAGATAGAATTGACAGTAACTATTTCATTACTCTTACTACTGTATGAGCTTTTATGGTTAGATACAAATGTTTCAGAGAAGGAAGTAGGCCAAATTTGGTAGCTTTCAAGAAATCAGGGCTGTACACAATGCATAGCTGGTTTCTGGAACATTAGAGAAACCCAGTAAAAGCTGTTGAACATCCTAAAAGAGTGTTAGACAGCATTTATTTGTGCTCTTGCCTTTACTGGTCTTTTGTGTTTGCTGCTTCTTTAATTTGTTACCTGTGTGCCTGGCCTTTTATTTCAGTGGAAACAAAGTAAGACAATGGAAATCAGTGCTAAAATAACTCTGAAGGTGTAAACCGGCAGTAGAAGTTGTATTAATCAGATGAGTAAAAATGCTGATGAATTCTGCTTAAAAGTAAAATAACAGTAAATTCTTAATGTATACATAACAACAATTGTATGAATTATTGAGTATATTCTATGTAAATTTATTAGAGAAGTTTGGAAATTTGTGAGATGTTTCCATTTTCTTAGTCTCAATAAAATTCTGCATACACTTAATAAATTTGTCAGCTAAAACCAGAATACAATGTTCTCCTGTTCAACCTTGTCCCTTTTATTTCCTTTCTTTTCTGTTTTTTTCAGAACTTTCTTTCTGAGAAGGGGGATTTTTTTTCTGTTTCATGAAGGAAGAACATGTTTTATGCAGCTGGGAAGAAAAGTAACTTTTCTTCCAAAATAGTTGAAAGCAGCTGTCAAATATTAGATTCTCTTTTAACGTTGCTTTTTGTTTAGGCTGTGCATTAGGAGGTGGGAGCCTAGCTTGTTTGCTTAGCAAATTTCCTTATTCAGCAACTGATTTTAGAACAGCTTCATGTGGTAAGAGATGATAGCATTTTTATGTTAAGAAGTCATTAATTTTAGACTGTCTGTTGTTTGTCTAGGTTTTTAGCTCGTTTCTTGGTAAAGATGGCAGCCAACAATGCAGTGCTGAACAGACTGGAGCAGAAGGGTGCAGAGGCCGATCAAGTTATTGAATACCTCAAGCAACAAGTTGCTCTGCTCAAGGAGAAAGCTAGTAAGGAATTACCTATCGTATGAAAAACTGTTAACCAGATGGTTAGCTTTAAATACTCACAGGAAAAAATGAGCACATGGACAACTTTATTGGTACTGTCAGCCTTTTAAGTGTGTTTCAAGTTCTCCAAGATAAAGCTTGTAATAGTAGCACTGCTTCACTGTTTTGTGGTTTGGGTTTTTTTGGTTTTGAAACTGCTTATTCTGAAATAGAAAAGGCATGAATTAGGAAGGATTAATGATACAAACAGATAATGGAAATTTGATAGGACACAGTTCCACTTGGGGGGGAGAAAGGGTGCTGGGAAGAATATGAGACTACGTTTGCCTGAATGTGTTACTGCTTTTTCACCACTATGGTATTCTCTCAAGAGTATCATACCTTCAGCTTTGATATTTTTTACATACCGATATCAGTGTATTAAGGTGCTCCATACTACAAACATGTTCAAGCTTTTTCTAATAGGTTTCTTGGAATTTTTTCTTGTGAGTCTATTTACAGGGCTGAGAAGCTAGTATATTGAGAGGCAACTTGAGTACATAAATATTGTAAAAAATGGCTATTTCAACAAAAAAAATATTCAAAAATATTTCTGATTATATAGTACTTGAAAGTTTTCACTTTTTCAGTGTTTTGCTCACTTTCACTTTTCTTTAAAAACAAAGCCTATGTCTGCCAAACGATGAATGCTAATTATTGAAACCTCTTGTTTTTAACATGCTGTCAACTCTAGTCTTGCAGGCATCTCTCCGAGAAGAGAAGAAGCTCCGTGTGGAAAATGCTAAACTGAAGAAAGAAATTGAAGGACTGAAGCAGGAGCTGATTCAGGCAGAAATTCGAAATGGAGGTGGGAAAAAAATCCTGTCTTCATACAACATAGATCTAGTTAGCAGAAAATATGATCAAAACTATCTTCATCTTGATTTTTATCTTTATGTATGTAACTCTATGCATTTCTTACAAAATGTGGATTTTCCCAGGTTCTGTGCTTATGACAAGTTACTCAATTCCAACATTTTAGTAAGCTGTAAGCCTATGCCAAATCTTAATCAGACATGGAACCGGTTCTTTGTATGTTTTTGCACAGTACCTTTCATAATAAGCCCCAAATTTGACTGATGACAATGCTTTCTTATAATACCTTTGAAAATTGTTGCATGTGTAACACTTCTTGATACTCTGAATATTTAATCTAGCATGACTGAAAAACCCTATGGAAAATCAAGACAGAGTTCAAAGTACAGATGGGCACTGACTTATTAGAAAATCTGTGGTAATGTAAAATTAGAAACAATGTGTTCTGAATTTTTGATTCCATGCTTTAGTAAGACCAGCCTTTCATTGCACTGTTTTTCCTTCTTTGCACTCCTCTGTGTAGCTGTGTTCAACTTGCACCATTGTTATATAATCCCTGTTAAAAAAGAAAGGTGAAAAAACAAAACTGAAGTGTATCAGATCCTCCTTTAAAATTATTTCCAGAGGAAGCCTCTTCTGCCCTCAGCAGCTATTACTATTTTTACCCATGCTGTCAGTATTGTGAATTGGGTGAGATAGTATCCAGTGTAGCTGGCTGCTAGCATTCAACCATACTGAATGTTCTACTAGTAAAATATCAGATTCAGTCTTCAAAAAGACTAGCATTTTATAAATGCAGACACTTCTGTTTCTCCTTTTGGCATGAATAAAGCCCTTTCATGTGCTAAACCAAACCATTAGTTTATATTTCTCTATTGTCTTGTTAGTCTGCTGCAATTTGTGACAGGTATAGGAAATTTCACAGTTATGTTACACTTGACAGAGAAGTCTCAAGGTATATGACTTTTTTTCCAAGATGGGAATGGACTTGGAAATTAATATTTAGCTGGACAAATATCTTTATTTAGCTAGTTTATCTAAAAGATAGTAGGATTAAATTTAGATATTTTCTTTTGAAGTTAATCAGTGTATGTTAATTTTGACAGTATTAAGTAGTTGAGTACAGAAATTAGATGGACAGTGTGAAAAATATCACTTTAGATATTTTTTTGAAAATCTGAGAAACACAAAGTCCACAACTAGCAAGCAAAACAGCAAGCAAAAGATTGTTGGTACAACCAATCTCAGATTCAAATGATTTAAAGAAATTCTTTGGAAGTACATAATTCATGCAAATTGCTTTAGTGTTAAAGAGAGCAGGTATCAAAAACCACAGTGCAGTTCTTCAGGAAAGTTAATAAATGTCCTGAAGTGTTAAAAAAAGCATGTATGCAGAATGGAGAAATGTGTAATAGTGGCACTAGAAGGATTTGTCAAACAGTAGCTAGTCACAGGTTGAGAGGGACCTAGAAAAATCATCTTGTCTAATCTTTCTTGGTAAAGGGACCTAGATGATATTGTCTAGCACACTGATGATGCTTACCCAGTACCATGTTTTGGTAAAAAGTCTTAATGTGATTCTTGAAGAGCAGAATGTGGAAAGGAGGTGATTCTTCTCCTTTAATCTGTTGAGACTGATGGTGAGATGGTGTTCAGAATTCTGTATCGGTAACTTAAAAAGAAATATGAAGGTAACATGCAGAATCTAGAGAAGGGAAGTGGGGAATCAACAGATTATTTTAGGACTGCAGGTAATTCCTTAGAATGTGATTATTCAAATTCAGTTTCTTTAGTTACTTAGAAAAAAGAGTTGAGGAATGATCTGACTACATTATAAAAATGATCTGCATAGCAAATTACGGAATAGTCTCCAGTGTGACAATAGTTAGAAACTGAAACTACCAAACACAAATGAGAAGTAAGGAGTTAGTAGCAAAGATAACTAGATATTCAAATAAGCTACAAAAAGACATGGTGTTTGCTTATATGTTTTGTTGTATTTAGCAATTTTTCCCATTTAAAAATGGGAAGGCATTGTTCTTAACTGATCAGAATAATCTTATATAGATTGTGAAATGTGTTTTGTAATGTTGTGCTTCACTAAGCAGTTGTGGTTTAGGTATTTAAACAAAATTTTCAGTTCTCTCTACTTTTTATGTTGGAAAATTAAAATGTCATAGTGTTCAAAGTTCTGGTGCCCCTCTTAACTTTTGTGGTTTTGATTTTAGTAAAACAGATTGCTGTTCTGCCTGGTACAACCGTTTCTACAGTGTCATTTTCAGATGATGTTCCACAATCTACAGCAGTGACATCATCTCCTGGTTCCAAAAATCAAATTAAAGATGAAGATGAAGAAAAGAAAAAGAAGGAAAAAGCAGAAAAAAGAGGTACTTAAGTTTCCTTAGCAGTGATATACAATTAAGGTATTTAAATTATGCAAGTCCTTTTGCATCATTTTATGGACAGAAAAAAACAGTTTGTACAGCCACAGTAGGAAGTGTTGTGTGCTTACGCTTAAAACCTTAGAAGTACTTGGAGCTAATGAAGGCCATCAAGTAAGCTACAGATCCTTACTTAAATGGGATACATGCCAGATTTCTGTTAATGTGAATGAACTCCTTTATTTTTTTAAATAAAAAAACAAACCCAACAACAAAAAACCCAATACCCTCCCCAACCTCTAAAAGCTTACACCAGAAAAAAGCAAAAGCAAACCCAAAACACACACAAACATACATACACACACACACACACACACACACACACACACACACACACACACAGATGGGGGGGGGGAAAAGACAGGTGGGGTGTGGAAGGAAATTAATGCAAAGTTTAGAGAAGTTTTTGGCAGACTTGATGGTTTTCTGTTGTGAGGCTTAGATGATTTTTTTTTTTTTTCCCCTGCCAGGTCAAGCAGAAGGCATAGACCTGTTCAGCAAAATACCTTGCAAGCAATAATAGCATAACATAATACTTAAGGAAGGGTGCTAAACTGCAGTTTTCTGAGTCCTTTAAGTGCTTTTTTTTCTCTGGAAAATTCTTACAGGCTGTGAAGATGCATCAGAATTGATCAGATACATATATGTCAACACTGGTGAAATTGTGTGGCTAAGAGAAAGTACTGGGTAGAGGACATAGATAGCATAATCTGGTTTTGGCAACAGGGAAGAAATGTAGGAGGATATGTAGGGTTCCTCATGCCTTTCCTCCTGTTTTTATTGTTTAGCTGTCTGTATTGACTTCTGTTTAACAAACTCTTTTAATAGAAGAAAGAATGGTTCTGTCACACTTGCACAAAAGTACGGGTGTCTATCTTGTAATTTCTGGTTTGTAATCATTCTCTTATGCAAATTATTAGTTAGCTGTGAAATGATTTGTACAGCTTTTCAGAGTTTGGATATTATGCTGATAGGGCCCTGTATCTGATTTTTTTTGGTGAGCTGTGTGCAGGCTTATAAGCTACTTCAGGTTTTTTTGGTGTACTTCAGCCTTTCATGCATCAATATTGCACAGAGCTGTAAATATAAAAGCAGAGGCTACATGTCATATCAGTCAATTACTTCACATATTCAGTGGCTACAGAGCAAGTACTCAGTTGGTAAGGAAAAATAAAACTTCTTGTATTTCTACTCATCTTGTATAAGTAGCTTTAGTTTGGAAAGCGAAGTATTTAACTTCTTCCTTCCAGTGACTGTATTAGGGAAAAAGGTGAAATAGAGCGTGACCATTAAATAGAAGCCCTGAACAGGCTGTTTCTGTGAAGTTCAATATCCATTGTAGATATAACATTTAAGAATCAGAGTAATCAATATGTAAAATTTCTTTTTTTAGTCTTCAAATTGATGAAATTAGAGAATATCTCAAATCCCTTTGCTTTCTGTCACCTTTCTCATCTGTTTTCTCTATGGTTATTCCCATGTTCTTTGTTTCACTCTTGCAAACTTCATCTGTGAAGCTTATCTGGATATTGATTCTGGGCTGACTGACACTGGCTAGAGGAGTGCAGTTCTCTCCTTAGCTTGTGGCACTGAAATGGATGTTTCCTGTGCATCAGTATATATGCTGTGTACAGACATGCTTTGCTGTGTTCTCTTGTTCCTTATTTGGTGACAAACTTCATTTCTCTGAAATAACTAGGGGGCTAGAAGCATGTGATTTTTTTTTTTTCTTGACCCCAAACCATTGTAGAGAAATGTCATGAAGAGGAGAACAGTGTGGAATGATACCAAGGACAAAGTTGGGAGGCCTTTGATATAATCTTAGGTACTAAATATTAACTGTTTTGACAGTATTTTTCCAGTTTCTCTTCAATTATTGTATATATGACTAGTTTTATTAGTCTAATTGTAGTCTATTTACGATACCCAATCATAAACACTAGAGCTTTTTATTCATCATATATGAACTGTAATATTTTTGAAGAGCTATTGCTTATGTTAAAAAACATAATGCCTTTTTATTATTGAATGTAGTATTTAATTTCAACCATGTACTAGAGCAATCATAAATGAGTCAAATTGCATGCTGTGACCACTTTTCCTTTTTTCCTCCCTAAAGAAGGGAGTTTAGCTTACATTAATATGTAAGCTATCTTGGATGAAAGAATAACAGAATATGTTTATTTTAAGTAAAGCACTTCTTAGACATTTCTTAATCCCCCAGATTTTGTAGTTGTTAAACAAATCTTGAATGCCTTTTAAACAGGACAATCGTATATGCAAACTGGATGTAACTTGCTCATCTCAAAAGGAATATCTAAATAAGAAGCTAAGTATGGGGAGTGTTGCTTCACTGCTCTTTTATACTATGTAGTATATATGGGTGATGATAAAGCCTTGCATTGCCATGGGATAAAGACTCTACATGAGTGGAACCTTGTAAGCCATGAATTTTCTCACATACTAGTACATTTGGGAAGTGAAGAATGTTAGCCAAGATCATCTTGAAGGGTTATTTTGCAACTGTAACAGTACAGTTGGAGCAAGGTAGCATTGTCCACTGTCAGAAGCGTTAGTAACCTGATGACTTGTGATTGTCTAGTTTCCCTTTGCCATGGTGTTTCACCAGCAAGATTTACTGATAATTGCTAATTATTGATGTGGCCTTTAGAAGAGTGTATATGTCACTTATCTTTGTTAGCTGTGTTACGTGTTAGCTACACGTAAAGTTTGGGATGACTTCGTTTTACAAACAAGAAAATACCCCTGTCCGAAGGTGGTAGTTATTTGTAGTAACATTCTAAATTGAAGTGTGTATGATGATTCTCCACTGGAAACTAGTAATAGAGGTGCTAACTCTTTACTCTTTATGAGATTGTAGAGCACTTTCCCCTTGCAGTAGTTTATATATATTATTTATGCTTTTAAAAAAGTTTATTTCATAAACTAAACTTTTTTTAATAGGTGAAAAGAAGGAGAAGAAACAGCAGCCAGCTGCTGGAAGTAGTAATGCAAAACCTGTAGATGTTTCTTGTCTGGATCTTCGTGTTGGCTGCATTATTACTGCTGAAAAGCATCCAGATGCAGACACTCTGTACGTTGAAGAAGTGGATGTTGGTGAAGGAAGCCCAAGGACTGTTGTCAGTGGTTTAGTGAAACATGTTCCTCTGGATCAGGTATTGACAAAATTACTTACTGATAGCTTTTTCTTTCTTAAGATCTTCCTCTGTTTAGAGGATGTGTTTACATTCTGCTAATTACAGTCATGAAAACAAAACCAAAATGCAAATGGAAGTAATGCTTAACACCAAACGGAGAAGTACCCTTACCCCAAATCAGTTGCTTTCTTCTTAACAGTGCTTCTATCCTGGGATCTTACTTGTCTGTGATGCCATTGGTACACAGTGGGCTCCTAAACCAAATAGACTCTCCCTTTAGGTTTTCTAGTATAGTAGAGAATCCATAATAACTTTTTTGCTGTTATCCAAACTTTTGAAACCTTTGCCTTCCAAGTCTCTTTATAGCCCACTGAAGTGTTTGACATGGAGTAAAGCAAAGAGCATGTAAATTTAACTTACTTGACAGCGAGAGGCTTAAACAACAGTGGAATACAAAATGCCTGTTTTTACTTCCCTGTCTGGAATAGAGTCTGCCTCTATGCTTTTTTTTTGTTGTTGATACACTTCTGTGTTTGACATGCATGCTTTGTGTATGTCTTGGGAACGACCTAAGACTTCAAGATTACGTTTTCCTGTCACACCTCTTCTAGAGGGTTAGTGGAAGGGAGGAATTGACTGAAGGCTGCTTCTAAATTCAAATACAAGCTTGGCAATTAAAGCAAGTATTGTATAGAGCAACTGCAAAACAGGTCATGAAGGAATTGCTCTTAGTGTGGAAAAGCTACATTTTCTCAAATGCTTTTCCAATTCACACCCTGTCCCCTGGTAAGACTGCAGATGTAGGAGGCAACTAAAATTGTGATTTGTTTTTATGATACAGAAAGTTATTTAACTGAAAAAAATGACTGAACATAAAAACTATTCTGCACTGATCACCTGATAGTGTCCAGTTACTGGGTTTGCAGTGGGCAGAAATTCAAATCGGTCATTTTTAGCAGTCAACTCTCAAGAAAGTGTGTAGAAACATCTTAAAAGCCTTTCTAAATAAATGTGTGAACATGAAGTGTATAGAATGCAGCAGCAGTCACAGTGTCTTTTTTAACCTGCTTTCTGTCTGGAAAAAATAATCCAAAGCACTCATTAACAGAGAATTAGGGATCATTCTTGGGAACAGTTTGTATGTCTGGTTTTGGTTTTGGCAAGTAAATTCTAAGGGGCAAGCTGCCATCTTTTTGTGTTTTTTGAAGCGTTCAAAAATGTGAAGGCCTGGCATGTGACTATTGTCATATATTTAAATAAAAATATATATTCAGGTCAAGTATAGACATAATTCACCAAAAATTCATCTATTTATGATTGCAGTGTATGATGTGGTAATTTAGCAGTGTTTGAGGCTGTAGTATTTGTATCATCTGATTTCATTTTTCGTTAGGGAGCATAATGTTTATCTTCATTAACATTTCAGTATGCAGTGCAAGTTATTTATGGGTGTGAAAATTTCTTGCATGCCCTCTTTATATGTGGTACATCATGTTTTTGTGCACCACTGATAGTTGTAAGTCAGAAGTTGCACCCTCAAGTATCACGTATAGATCAATACATGTATCATCAGTAACAGGGATATGGAACTGAAGCATGAGTTGGACCATGCCAGTGCTGAGCTCTCAGCAGCAGCCAGGGACAGTTGGAGAACATTCTGAAATGTCAGCAGGATTTGATAGCTTTTCTCCACTATGTTTGGCTTTTTGAAGCGGAACTCGTGAGTTGTTCTAGCATCAATACCTGTTTCAGGCAATCATTCTTGAAATTTGGACAATTCTCACATGTTGCTTTTTTTGCCTCCTGAGCTCCCCTTTAGCTTAAGAGATCCTCATGTCAGTGATCAAAAGTGAAGGACAAGAATGCAGAGTATGTATCTTAAACCTAGGAAGAAAAGGCACCAGTCAGCCTCCAGAAACACTATCCTACAACCATTTTTTTGTGAGAGGACATGTTATAACTGTATCCATTATGAACAACATAGTCTCGTTTTTATAGCAGAAACTTTTGAGGGTTAGTGTTGTCCACCCAGGAATTAGCAAATGGTACTGGAATTTGTATTTCTTTTTCTTATAATGGTAATTATATTCTTTATACATACTCTTGATCTTCTAATTTTCTTTGTCAAGTCTGCAGGGAAAATATGTTTCTATAAATCATAAAGAACAAGGACTACAGCATAACTGTAAACTTATTACACATTCTGTGTAACATAAGACACTTCTTAAAGCAAATGACTTTTTTCCTCAGATATAAAATTATGCTTCAAGGCTATATTAAATGCTGCTCTGTTTCTCTTCAGATATGAAACAAATAGGAATATCTGTGTAAGCAAGCTTGTGACTTGTAAATTATGTTCATTGGCAAACTTAAGATCCAGACAAGTATGTAATAAATTGAGGACTTTTTCTTGCTGTTGGCATTGCAACTCATTCTGGTTTTAAAGCAATCAGTGTGTTGGTTTTAACATACTCACTAGCTGTTGCAGTCTGTCACGGTATCTGATTTTGAGATATAGAGGGGTAGTTAGTTGATAATCAGTTATACAGGCAACTTCAAGGATTACCTAAGAAAATGAGCAATTTAACACTTGTGCCTCAAGGATAACATTGTGTTTTTTCTGTATGGTAAATTTCAGGATTAATTTTTCTTTGTTTTAGTTTCTTTGCTTCCTTTCTGTACACAAACACCCCAAGCATGTTAGGAAGATGCATTGTTTTATTCTGAATGTGAAGTAGCTGTGTGTCCAACCATAGAAACTCTAGCAACTAACATTTGTGCTGAAACTAAATCAGTTTCTCACTGGTTGAATTATCAGTTTTGAAGTCTGTGGATTTCTGAAACAGGATTGTCTCTTTGGAAGGCCAGCAGAGGTTGTTACTCTTTCAAGGAGATAACATTTGAATTTCCTTTGATTATTCTTATTCATCTAGATATTAGGAAGCATTTCTTTACAGAAGGGGTTGTTGGGTGTTGGAATGGGCTGCCCAGGGCAGTGGTGAAGTCCCCATCTCTGGAGGTGTTTAATAGTAGAGTTGACATAGTGCTTGGGGATATGGTGTAGTTGGGAACTGTGAGTGCTAGGTGGTTATTGGTTGGACTGGATGATCTTCAGGGTCTTTTCCAACCTAGATGTTTCTGTGATTCTGTGATTCTTGGCTCATTTATGTATCAAAGATGTCCTGAGATGCTGAAGGCTTATGAGTTTCCAATAGACATAAACTTTTTCTGTTTGTGTCCTTTTAAGTGTCTGGAAAGTATGTGAGGAAAACCCTCAATTTATTTTTACAGTTAAGAAAAACTAGATTGTTTCTTTTATTCCTCTAACTTATGGGGTTGCAGAGAGTAGCCATCAGTAGAATTACTGGATCTGACTCTTTGTAGTGTTTTGACACATTTCAGCATTTTATTTACTTACTGTAAAAAAAAATCTCCTAAGAGCAATGCAGGTAGAATGATACCCGAAAATCAGATTACTTGGTGGTTTATAAGCAATTTTTTTTGCGTGAATACAGAGGGATCAACTGTTGTGATTGAAGCCCTGTTTTCTGGAAACATTACAGTAAGTACTTTCTATAAAAATTAACACAACCAGTTTAAATAAAACAGACCTAAAAACTTTTGCATTGTTAGGAAGCATTTATTTAGGTCTAGTTAATTTTTTTTTCTTTATGCTTAGGGAATTGTCCTTTATCTGAAAAAATATTAAAAATGGAGCCATTTATAATGAAAAGGGAAAAATACCCAGTCCTTGAAATAGCAATGTTCTGGTTTTGGCTGCCAATCTTGGGGTGGGATTTTCTCTTTTTATGAAAATATTTATTCAACCTTATGAGTTTTCATACCACTTACTTGTGAAATCAATGCCTATATCTTAGTATTAGAGCAGTGTTTCAAAAGCATTTGAATATACTTTCTAGTGAAAACCTTAATTTTGTAGTGATCATCAACTTAAACAGAAGTCTCATGCAATATATATAAAAGTTTGAGCCACTGTGAGTGGTGAGAAAAGAATGATGTGATGCTAGTCTGTTTTTCTTTTCTGTTAGCTTGACGGTGATCTCCATTTATGTATTAATGCAGCCTGGTTTTGTCAATTGTATAATCTGTAATAAAAAAGCAATACTCTGAAGTCTAGAATTTTTTCCAGTTAATCAGAACTAAAATTGAGTGCCAAATCTTGTTTCTTTTATTCTGTATATCCACTTGCTAATTGTTATTCAGTGGTAGATAAATGTCTATAACTGCATTTTAGAGTCAGTGACATTTTACAGCCATTTCTTGTGTTTTGGGCAATTTATATTGCTAGCAATAACTTAAGAAATTTTTAGTCAGTGGGCTCCCTTGAAACTTATGCAAGATCAACTTTTCATTATAACTGCTTAATTTTGGAGATATATATTTTTGCTTTTTAAACTTTTCTACTTGGAAAATATTCAGCATTTGGAATACTTGATCATATGAGTTTTATTAAATAATAATCCTGCAACTTTGTTTAAAGTTTATATTGTAATGTACAAAGACTGAAATTTAGAAATAGGAGTATATATTATATACATGTGCACTAGAAGTATGAGAATTAAGACTTCCTTACTTTTTTACATTCTCTTAAGAATGTTCTAGGTTTCATTTTTATTCAGTTGTAAAGTGGTGTTTGTTTCCTAGGCTGAAGCATGGCAGTTTCCCCTGACAAAGTATGTTTTCTCTGGTTTACTGTTGTAATTTTCATGGAAAATAAAACAACAAAGAAAGAAACATAGTTTTACAGTTTTGCTCTAACAAATTGCAGTGCACAGTATATAAAGCCATTTTCAGTGTTTTAAAAAAATCAAAGCATTAGGGGTAAATAAGATACAGATTGAGATTCAAGTGAATTAATTATGTAAACCACATATATGCTTTCAGTGTTCAGTTTGAAATTTTTATCTATGACCTAGCCTAATCTGTAGAGTGTGTTTTCATGTTACTAATATTATTAATAAATGGAAATTGTTTGGCTAATAGTACCATATTGAAAGTGGACTCAAGGGGTAATTTAGAATGAATAAAGATGAAATGCAGGTGAAATGCATCCCTGGGTTTTGGGATTTCTGAATTGCACATTTTTTATTTCCATGTTAAGTGTGACCCAATTCAGCATTTATTCCATTATTCACTGGCCAACTCTTAAGTGGTTTAAATGTTATTTGGTACTGATGTGCAGGTGTTAAAATTGTGCATCTGTTGCTGTATGCTTCTCTTTGCCCATGTTATGGTCTCTTCATTGTAATTCTTTTGTTATAATGAAATATGTGGCATTTAAGTACTCATATCCTTCTCTGTTCTTCCCCCAAGATGCAGAACCGGATGGCAATACTACTCTGTAACTTGAAGCCTGCAAAAATGCGAGGGGTAGTATCTCAAGCAATGGTGATGTGTGCCAGCTCCCCAGAAAAAGTGGAAATTCTGGCTCCCCCAGCTGGGGCAGCACCTGGGGATAGAATCACTTTTGAAGGTTTTCCTGGTAAGTAGTATTTGGGAAATTGGAGGAAATAGGTATGCCATGGTGACCTCATTGTTGAAGCAGATAAGAATGTATTTTGAAGTTGGTTGCATTTTTTGTTTTAAGTTTTCTGAATTAGTTATATTCAAACTTTTTTGTTATTAGCATGCTAGGACTGTGTAAAATTGAAAAATACAGAAAAATAACTGTAACTTGAAAAAGTTGTGTAGTACTTTAATATAAAATTACCAACGTTTCTAAGTCTTGATAAGTATTTTTGTTTCTGAATTGTATGGACAAATGTATTTGCACTTTGCAAGTTACAGTAAGCAAATGTAAAGCATCTTTCTCAGTGTCTCAGTGTAAGTGATGAAGTAATAAGTTCCTGATTCCAGCTCCTCCCTCTAATGAAAGTGTCAGAAGTACAAGTAGGCTTTTTATTTTGAGGAGAAGAAAAGGATGGAGAGGATTGGAGGGTGGAAATCTCCTATTTATGAGAAGAACCTATAATATTCAAAACACCAGGGTTTTTTGCTTGCTTGCCTGGGAAGAAATGACTTTTTGGGTCTCCAGAGACAGACATTGGACTTCTTCCCACTTAATTAAATCAATAAATCCATATTTTTTTCAGATATAAATAATAATTAAATTTAAACCTTCTTGAAGATAATTTTTCATCCATTTTCCCACTTCCTCTATCTTCCACTCGGCTTCGAAAATGATTAGTTTCTGACCCTGCATATTGGGAATTCAAATAAGCATCACAAACATAACCTGTTGGTGAATGCTTCCCTCCTACCCAGATACCAGTTCATTAGTCTCTCAGGCTAAAAGAGATATGGAGATTCAGCTTCTCCTGTTGCTGTCTTTGTTAGTACTGTTATTTTGTTATCTCTATCATGGCTTTAAGTGTTTTTCATCAGGAGATGTTGGTCTGTTATGATCCCAGTAAGAAAGGCACACAGACTGTAAAGTATTGTTTAAAATGCTATTTATTAGAGCTGATGCTGAAAAGAGAAAATGATATACATAATTTTGCATCACACAGATGATGGGAACCCCAAGGTCGTGCAACATCAAAAAAGGCTGCTAGTCCATGTGCATTATGCTGTGCACTCCCTGTTCATAGGGGAGATTCCCCCCTTTTGGTCATTCAAGCTACTCTTGTATTTTCTTACTCATTTCACCTGTCAAACAGAAATGAAGTTCTCTTGAAAACTTGATGCTGCACAGTGTTTCATAAAGGTGAGGACGCACAGATGGCTCAATTCCTGGTACCACACAGGAGCTGCCCGCAGGCTTCTCTGTTACAATCAGCTGGCTAGGTTTATCCTGCACCCCAGGAGTTTGTGCAGTACAGCACAAGCCTAGACCTGCTCAGGTAGACTGTTGTGTGGATTACTGAGTTCTTGATGATCAGTGGTCTTCTGGTCAGGATCACTGCATCACTATATCTTAAGAAAAAGTGGTCTAATTCTCAGTATTTTCCATATTGGGTGGAGTTGTATGTGTATGCATTTATCAACAAAATATTAATATTCAGGATGAGTTTGTTGCTGAAAAGTTGTCTTTTGTGTGTGAGAAAATGGTGTAGCTTTCTGTTTTCTATGTAGAAACATATTAACCTCTTTAAAATATTGCACCTCTTTCTAGCTGTACAGCAATGTTTTTATTTATGAACCTCTTGGCAAACGCTATGCTTAAATATATTTGCATGCAATACAGTAATTTGCATAAACATATGTATGTAGCTATTTTTATATTTCATGATTGATGCTCTAAAAATATGTATTTTGGTTGGCATATGATGAAGCAGTGGTCTGTCTAGGTGGTTTTGAAACAGAAGGAAAGTTCAGTTTGCTGTGATTTAATGCTCTGAAAATTTAAAAATAATACTGTGTTTTAACAAGGAAATCACTCTTGCAGCATTTTGTTCATTTTTAGGTTTTTGCATTAAAAATATACCAAGCTTGCTAGCTGAGATGCAGAATTGGTAAGCTGTACTGAAATCTGAAAGATTTCAGCAATTGCATTGACTAAATTGTAGAATATTCCCTCATAACTTCTAGTAGCTATCACATATCCATGAATAAAGATAGATTAAATGTTGGATGTGTGACCTCTGTTATGTGTAAGAATACATTAATTGCTTTCTGTTGCTGTGGAAATGGATGTGCGAGAGATAGCATCAAGCTGTAGAGTAAACCCATCTAGTGCATAAGCCCTGCAAATGATACACAAGTCAGCCTGGGCATGTGGCTTTTTTTGAGAGGTGGAGAGTCTTTCTTGTTTGTTTTTTGTCTAAGGTATAACCTTACTCCAAGCTTATATCTCAAGTAACTTCATATACCTGGCACTTGAAAATAATGTGAGAGCTGGTAGTAGTGCTGTTCTCTGGTAGCCAGCATATCTATTCTTGCACATGACCAATAAGGTAGATTTTATTAAAATAACTACTTAACTCCAGGTTTTTTATAGCTGTAAAAAGCTTTTCTTAGAGCTAGTAATAGAAATTTTTGTTTTAAAAATATTCCCAGGTGTTAAGGTATACAAATACTGTGTTGACATTTTGATTTTTAGTAGAATAAGCTAAAGGTGGTGTAAAAGTCATACTAGTTTTAAAGTTAAGAACTGCAGTCTGTGATACAAAGTATTGTACACTTCATGTCAGCTTCCTTCTGTCAGGGAGCTAAAGACATGGAGATATAATAAGTGCCAAATAAAGGCTTTCACAGCCCCTTTCAAAAGCATATATATTCATAGACTAAGATTGTTGCCATTTACCTTCTTGTCCAAGTGATTAACAACTTTTAGTTGTTGTTTTTTTCTCTCCTTTTTAAACAGCTGTTTGGGGGTGTTTTTTTTATTTGGTTTTATTCCTGAGAGGAAGAAACCCACTGGGAGACTGGAAAACTCGATTTTTCATGGGGTTGTATGTATCTTCTACTTACCTTTTTTGTGTTAAAATCTCACATGTTTCTTAGCTGCTGTCTCCTCAAAGGCAACCTGGCACTTCACTGATACTGTTATCAGGAGGGTAGAGTCCTTGCTATGTCAGATGTCATTTAATGTCAGTGCTGAACTGTAACCATCTATGTTCTGATTCAGTTTTTTTTTAAAGAGTAATTTTAAAGAATAAAGATTCAGATTGAGTCCTTGTAATTAAAATAGAAAGGACAGCTGGGTTTTATTTTAGTTTGATGTATAAAAGCCTGTGAAGCAACAGAAGCAGCGGCAGCAACAATAAAGCAACTCTAAAATGCACACAGCTGTCTACCAAGCAGCTTTGTATCAAGTTATTTTTAAGCCTTCTCTCTCCCCATACAAAATATTCATAAGATACAGGCTAATCTTCCTTGGTAATTTTAGTCATAGTAAACAAATGATATCTTGATTGAGACCAGTTGAACTTTTTTATTCAGAAGCTTGAGAATTTTCCTAGAATCATACTGAGTAGGAGTGATTTGATAAGGAATGTTGTTGTCTGGAGGAGTGTTCTTTTTGTTTGTTTATTTGATGTTGCCTTTAGGAGAACTTTAGCACTGTTATATATTCCAATACATGAATCTTCAAGATCTTTTGGGTCTTTTTTGCATTAAGAACTTTATAAAATTTCTATCCACCTTCAGTGGAAAAGGACTGATTTATGAGCCCTAGAAAAACTATTCCATTGCATATCTGTAATTTACTCCTACACAGTAATTGTCATAAGACAGCAATAGTTCTTAGAGTTTTCACAGCTAATGGTGAAATCTTCTTTCTAATAGCAGTATAAGTGATGTTTTGACAAAACTCTTCAATGCAAAAATACCACAGGAACCACAAATCTGCTAGTTATGTTTTATAATTAGGTAATCTTTCTGGTCTCAGAATCCTTGGCAATAACCATCTCTTTTTAAAAAATAAGTGCTAAAACTGGAGTGCAGTGGTTAGTCTGTATTTAACAGGTTTCTGTAGTCAAAATTTTGCTGTATATGGATGCTTTCCTTCAGTTCCATAGTTATAATGCACAGTGAGCTATGTGTTGTTAACTTTTTATGAGGTCACACATCTTTTTGCCCTTTCTTGCACTGAGATATATTCTTTCAGTTGTTACTGAGCTGTTACAAAGTGGAGTGGTTTTTGCTTATTATAAGAATTTCTTTTGTGATATTTAAACTGCTAGACTGAATGACATGTTTAAGAATATTTGGGACCTCTTATGTTCTTTTTATGTAAAGAGTGGGAAGCTCATTAAACCATTACACAAGTTTAAATTTTTTTTTTATAGAAGCCCTTCTAAAGAATATTTTCTGGGAAGAAGGAATGCAACGAGGAGAAGTCATAGGAAAATGCATAGCCTAAAGCTCTGGTAGTATTTAAAATTGGTGCCTATGCTAATCTAATATGAGCTCACCACAGATCCCAAGGGAGCTTGATGCAGGATTCTAAAGAAACTTATTAACATTCAAAGCATGTTTTTTGTAATAAAACTCAGGGTTTTTTCTTACTGAAAAAATTCACTTGCTTTTTATATTTAAGGAGGGGGAAGGAAATGCACAATGGATCATTCAACATTCCGTTTAATGATTTTATTATTAGTTCATATGCATTCACTTTGGTCTAAATCCAAGTCTGTTTTTGTTCATGAATTTGAGCATTGAACAGGATTTTTATTTTTGTGAAAATGTGCAATTAGCTCAAAATGTTTAATTTATTAATGGTATTACTGATTTTTCTTTTAAATATTAAGTGCACTGTGGTTGTGAAATAACCTGACTGCATTATTGAATCTTGCTCTGGCAAGGCTAGCCTACTTAACAAAGAAATCTGGATGGTTCTGCTTCTCTTAGAGCATCCACAGAAGTTAGATCTGTCTACAGGCAGTAACTTACTTCTGCAATGACTGAGAATGTGAATAGATTGAACCATTGAATACAAGTAAAGAAGAAAAACAACAAGGCAGGCTGGAATGAGAGCAGTTCCTTTAACCTCCTGTTGGTCAGCCAGTCAGGAATACACCAAGCAGTAATGAATTTCAACCAGCCACTAGAAACATGTGTGTTAAAATCCCTGTAGTCTAATAGTTTTTCTTCCTGAACGTTTGAGGACACTGAGTAGTGGAAGATGAGAGTACTTGACATTTTGCTCACTTGCAGAACTCCTCACTTTCCTTTAGGAATTCCCGGCTCCTCTGAGAGGATCTCAGAGAAGATGTGTTTACTAGGATTTGGTTTTTGATTCTTGCTTTATTCTAGAACTTAAGATATTAATAATTGGGCAGAATGGTGCCAATATGCCACTCCAAGCAAGTAAAAAAATCTATATAGTGTATCGACAGTTGAACAGAATGGAATCCTTTTCCGTGTTCAAATGTGCTCTAATTATATTTAAAACAGGTCTTGTGTTTTTGTTTTTTTTTATTTGCCCTGCCTGTGTTACACATAAGAGGTCAAGAGCACCCAACAGCATTATGATTATATAACTTTTTAAATGAAATCCTGTCTTCTTTAAGAGAATCTGCATTGTATTAGAATTTAGAGATTGAATTTACCTGGCCTTTGAACAGAAAATAATTGTATAGCAAATTGATTGTCTTGTGCTATCTAGATTATGTCAGCAGGCAGCAGTTTATTCAGTGTCTTTACAGCAAGAATTTACTTAGTTGTTTTGTTCCTATACTTGCATTTCATGCCTATTTAAAAATAGGAAGAATATGACTCCAAAATACTTCACTATTATTCTGTGTAATTTGTTAACAGTTTTAAAAAACAGTAGTAGTAGAAACCTGAATTTGTGGTCATTAGAGATCCTTAAATAGTCAGATTTGCTGGTGTAGTTAGACTGTCAATATGTCTAGGGCTTAGGTAGCTTATCATGGTGTACACACAGAAACAGGGTACTGAGACTTGGAGACTAAGGCCATAATTACTGAAGTAGAAGATGACCTCTAATCTTCTGTCATTTTAGGCACCAGAGCATGTCATCAAATAGTGCAAAAAGTAGCAGAATGGTGTTGAAACCCGGGGCTAAAATTGTATGTCAGTATCCTAATTTTGGACTAATCTTGTCTAAATTCAGTGTTTCTCAAATATAAAGGCACCTGCCAAATTCACTTAATATTAACTGTTTATAAAAATTCATTAATTCCTAAACTTAAGATGCCAACAAATCTGTGTCTTGGTGAGTAGTGTATTTCTGTGATCAGCATCTATGTAATTCTTAGGAATCCTTTTGGTCTCTAGTAAATTTTGTAAACCAGCAGCTAGCAGTGGTTTGATTTCTTCCTTTTGGCAGTATTTGTGGTCTGTTATTTATAACCTTTTTTTCCCCTGAAAGATCAGCATTTTGAGAAGCACTCTGGAGACATTTCCTAGAGAATCCCTAATTTCAATTCAAGTTTTTATTTTTAGAATTTCAGGTAATGTTTTTTTTCCCTTAAAAGTGTGTGCAGTGATGCTATGTGGGATGTCACAGATATGTACATGCTCTGCCTCCTGTGTTGTGTGCTATTAGGTTATTCTTTCTTTTGAAACAGGAGATCCTGAAAAGGAACTTAATCCCAAGAAGAAGATTTGGGAACAAATCCAACCTGATCTTCATACCAATGACCAGTGTGTCGCTACATACAAAGGAGTTCCGTTTGAAGTGAAAGGAAAAGGAGTCTGCAGGGCAGAGACCATGGCAAATAGCGGAATTAAATAAATAGTTATTAGAAGTTTTTTCAGACATTGAAATGGAAAGTAATGCAAGCACAATAAAAAACATGAGTATGTTACCCCTCTGAAATGTGTGGCTAATACCTTTTTTGTCTGATTTCCCTTCCAGAGGTACAGAATGTGTTGTGTTTTCAATAGTTTCACAATTCACTCATTCACCATGCTTACTGTCATTGTGCTTAAGTGTTGTCACGAGTCATTAACCACTCAGTGCTCAAGTCTATTAAATGAAGGCTTGTTCATGGTAGAAATACAGGCAGGCAAGCATATTTTCTGGACAGCTAAAAGGTTTAGAGGATCTATGAAGTGAGAGCATCTCAATAAGGAAAAATTTCTGCCATGTGCTAACTGCTCTTCAAGAAGTGTAGGAGTAGCAGTTGGTCAGTGAAGGCCACAATTGTCCTTATTCTTTTAGTCACCTTTTGTTAGTTTTTCTCCTCCTCTTCCAAGCAGTTTTCAGATATAAGTCTTTGCAACTTGCTGTGTTGTCTGAGTAGTCTTCAAACTGTTGTAATAGAAAGATTAAACCTTTATGCCTTAAGATATACAAATGGACATACTTACATGTCCCACAGTGAAGCTGTTATACTGTCAGTAAGATCAAAGCTGGCACTTTGCTAAAAAAGTTCTTCATCTGCTCCACCTATATATTTCCTTCCAAATGATAGGTACTACTAAGAAAGAATGTATAGCAAATATATTGCCAGAGCTAGTCAAATACTACCCAAAAAACCCCCCACCATTTCCAGTGCCCAAACAGGTATAAAATGAATTGATTTTTTTGTTTTAATGTACTTTTATGCAATTGTATGCAAAAGATGCTTTGGTTTTAACAGAAATAGCTTCTTTAGGTTTTACAGTTAGAATTATTCCATAATAATGTAGTACAAGTAGTCATGGTTGATATCATAATAGCCTCAAATTACTACTTTTAATTCCTGCCTTTTAATAATCTGAAAATAACTATTTTAGATCAATTTACAATAAAACTTCTAAGTAACTATTTTGAGATACTTCAGATATTTTGGCATATGATAATTAACTGGTTACTATCTAACCACTGAAACAGTAAGCGCTTTTTTTAGCCACTGAAATAAAAGTAACTTAACCACTATGAATTTTTCAGGCTTTGAAAAAAAAAAAAAAAAAAAAAAAAAAAGACAATGATATAAAATTAAAAGGAACAGGCACAAAAGAAGAGATGAACAGATTTCTTTTTCAAATGAGTTTTGTATGTGCCTATAAACTGTGTTAATTTTTCTTGCATCTGGGAATAAGCAGTAGTAATTAGTTCTTTTAAATGTGCTGAATAGCATTCATCATATGGGAACTGTTTTATCTGCCTTATAAACTACATATCCAATAATGTCTTTATTGAATAAAATTCTTGAAGTTCAAAACCTCAATTCTAACTAATCCTGAATCAAGGTAAAGAAGTACTTTTACAGTAGATAAAATTTAGCTTTTGATACTGGAAAACTCTTTACAAACTGGAATTCACAGGAACTTCTGACAGCTTGAACTGAGCAAAGAGGCTTCCTTATCGTCTGAACTTGTGCATTTTAATTTTTTTTTTCTTTTTTTCCTCACAGATCTGTGTTCTGTATGAGCTGCAATATACAATCTGGTGTAGCATAAAATCTCATTTGTGACTGCATGCACACATATTAGGATTGTGATTTAGAGAATTAGCTTGCTCTGATTTTTGTGGTTGAAGGTAGGATTCTCACTGCAGTAGGGTGAAGTACTCTGTAAAAGGCAAGTAGTTTGGTAATCTAAAGAGATATTTCCAACTGTGTGTTCAGAAGTATTTAGTATGGATATGGAATTTTCCAGTTGATGGCTTCTACTCTTCTGTTAAATGTTACCTACCATAGAAAATAGACAGATGAGGATCTGGAAGCTAATTTTATTCCTTTCTGTGTTTAAGTAGAAGCACTTGATAATTATTTTGTCTTATAAAATTCAAGAGCTTTCTTAAGACAATAGCTCTTTCCTCTTTAATTATGCTCTTCTGGTTGTCTAGGAAAATGTATTTATCTTGTACTGAGCTCAGAAGCGACAATAAGGTACTTGAGGCACTGTGCAAGTATGCTTCCTCACTGAATCCAGCCTCTTCTGCCTTGTCTGCATGAGTAAGTAGAACTGCAGTGAAATTCTTCCATGTGGGACCCAGAAGTTCCTGTAATGAAAAACAAATCTTAAATAGTTATCTTTTCTTGTTCCTTTTCCTCACTCCCACCTCATATACTTATGCATTAACAGACCAGTTGTATGTTCTTTTTCTGGCAGTAATCCGATTCATGCTATCTGAGTTGCTGAAATTTCTGGGGTTTTTCACCTTCCCAAGACACTGACATCTATTTTCAGTGGAAATATGTGGTCGTGCAGTACTAGCAGTTCTCTGTTCTCTTATTACAGATGTTAATAGAATTTCTCCAGTTAAAAAATGGCTGTGTAAATAAGGAAAAAGGGTTGTTTAGCTATGTCATGCATTAGTTTACATCAGTAATTTCCACATATCTGTATTTCTACACTTTTTACAGCTCTTTGAAATGCTTTTTTAAAAAATCAGCAAATAATCTTGTGTTGAAAAAATAAGTGATGAAATTTTGTGTAACAGCAACTGCAATTCCAGCTGTATACCATAAAACTGAACTATTCTCAGCATTTCCAGAAAAACACAAATCAAATGCATCAACCTAAGTGATGGGCCAGAGAGTTGGTCTTTAACTGCTGTGGTTCATCTGATGGAGGGGAGGGGAGAAAACAAGCTCCTGTTGTCAATGAGTACAGAAAATTTTAATATGAATAAGAGATTGGGCTTTCATTTACAGATATAAATGAAATTGCAACTTCAGTGCAATCATGTTAACTCCTGTGTATGAAAAGAAGCCTACTTTGTTAATAAAGTCAGTTTTGGAGAGAAGAGGATAGTGCATTTGTTTGCAGAGGACTCAAAGTCAGTGCTAATGTTAGTTCTGAAATCAGTATCTGCCACTCTCACAATTTATTAGGCTATGTTACTGAAATAAAAAAATCCAGAGATATTTAAATGCCAGTAGTCTTTTACTGATATGCCATCTTCATTGATGCACCATCCCAAATTTGCGGATGATCATTGTGAAAACTCCTGATTGCTAAAGGTAGTCTTCACGCTAATCTCTTCTTGGAATAACATACTGAAATATAACCATTACTGTTCACCAGCACCCAGGCAGCTGTCCTGCCCTATTTATTTGTGACGGATGAAATCACAGCATCTAGTCTTTTTTTAAGGCGAAAATAACTAAAAAGCCAACAATTGTATAAGCTGAGAGCCAACTGTAATCGTGAAACAAAAGTGTTACTTTATCTTTTTTTTTTTTTTTTAAACATGCTTTATTTCTGTTCCAGTAGGGGCTTTAAAGGTCCATTTGACGAGAAAAGGCATGGTGGCATCTAATGCTTTTAATGCCCACTTGGACTTGATCCAGAACAGTCTCAAGCTAGAAGCATGATGATTTTTCATTGGCTTAGAATAAAAATATTTTGAATAAATAATGCTTTCTTTTAAATACCTTGAAATATAGAGAGATGAACTGCATAAGGAAAAAGTCTTGATGGACAAGGAAGTCCCTTCCAGTCCGAAAAAATTTTTAGATAGTTCATTAGTGTAAGAAAAATGCAAAGTGTGATGTGCAGACTTTAGCAATAACAGAAACCCTTTGTTTCTTCGTAAATCGTACAAACCTGGTTCATCTGATCAAATAAATAAACTAAGATATCTGTTTGCTGGCCTTTATTTTTTCATTTGTATTTTTTTCAAGCCATTGAAAAAAGCAAGCCATTCCTTTTCAGTGTATCTTCCCACATATCTTGCCTACTTGAAGAAAAATATATTCCGCCAGGATCTTCAAAATATTTGCTTCAATGATAGAAATTTTCCTTAGCCAGAGTAAATTTATGGTAACTTTCTAGTCATCTTCTCTTGGACAGATAACATCAGTAGTGACAGTGCAGGACAAGCATCCTTGTCCCAGGTCAGTCATTTTCTGTGTGGTTTTGGACCTGTTGCTCTCTGCTTCGATCTTATACAGAGCACAGGAGAGTGAGGTAACCTGACTTTTGCTTCCTTTAAATAGCATCCCTCTTCAACAAGCTAGATCTGAAATGATAAAGCATTAACTATAATTTCTGAGAGAAAAGCTTACTTTGATAAGTAAATTTGGTTCCTAAATTCCTTTGTGCTGAGCTCATGTACAAAAGAGAGCAATTCTGCCTGTCTCTTCTCAGGTTTAATATGGTAAGTATAGCTGTAGTGTATGGTGTTGGAGTTGAATGGCATGTTTCAACTGCTGGACTGGGAAGTGTTACAGTTTTCAGCTGCACTTCTGTTTCACTTTTGCAGTCAACTCTTGCATTGCTTTTGACACCTGAAGACAAAAGAGGTGCCATCAGGGCAGAAACTTCTGTTTATTTATTTGTTACCTGGATAAACTGAATTATGTGATCCTTTTCATCTGGACACAGAGGCAAGTCAGCCCTCAGGACCAAGAGAGCTAGATGCAGGCCTTCCTCCCCAAAGTGGTGAGCCAGGGCAGATCTCACTGTGTCTCTCACCTGCTCTTTGCTCAGAGCACTGTGAGGGTAGCTTGGAGTGTCAAGTACTCGAACACGGAGAGCTAGCTCACAGCCATTTCTTCGTATAATCCCCAAAATGCGGCTGCTGCGTCCAAGACTGCAGCATGTAGTTACAGAGCTTGGGGAGAGATGACTCTCAAAGTCTGCGCTGCCCAGCAGGCTGTTCCCAACAGCACTTTTGCCAGTCTGAGTTCTTCCAAGGACAACAAGGTTGATGGTCATCTCATTGCTTTCTGTCATTGTCTATGTTTTATCCACAAACTTGTCACTAAGTGAAGAAAAAATACCATGAGCTGTTTTAGATACCTTAAAAAACAGCAAAATTTGCTAGATATCTTTTGAGTGTTCTGTCCTGCCTGAAATGTTTTAAGGAGTGTGTGGTGTAGGTAGACATTCAGTACAGCACATATGCCTCTGATCCCAGGGCAGATCTTTGCTGTCCTTCCCAGTCTGCTCCTAAGAAATAAGAAGTCCCCATGGAAGGTGTCACAGGTAGAAGAGCAACCTAACAGGGTGCACTCCTACACTGGCAGAAACTGAAGAGCTGGGAAATAATCAGATGTAAGAAGAGTTTCAGCAACAAGTAGAGTAGATAAAGCTAAGGAGAGACAACAGAAAAGGGAGGGGAGGGAATGGAGGAGTTGGGAAACAACCATGGGAAACAGCATTGGTATGCAGGGAGAGTAGGTTATGAAAAGGAGGAAAACTATTGGAGGAAGAAGAGAATGGTGCCAAATGCACACTGCAGTTATTAAGTGACCAGATTTCAGGAAGTAAATCTTGGTTTTAAGAAAAAAAATGGATAGTCGGAGAAGTAGCTTGTAAGGAGCACTTTTTCACAGCAGAGAACATTTTAGAATGCATCTTACATCAGCTACCACTAAAGTTCAAACAGTAATCTGAAAGAGCGTTCTGACACTTATAAGAAGTATGTCTTAATGAAAAAAGGAACAACTAAAATAGGCAGTGGTGCAGGTTCTAACCCCATGTGAAACTGACTTCAGATATGCGTACTGTATAAACTTATAGACTTGTGGCACAGTTAGTGGGCAAGAGAGGCATAGACTGGTGGATGGAGAGGGGAGATGGGTATCATTTCCAGTTACTATAATTGTTCATAAATAAACCCTCTCATTCTCTTTGTATTTTTCTGTAATCCAGTACCTGAAGGGGTTTTGGTGCTCGTAAATTGTCTAACAGGAATGTGGCTGATTAAATAAATTCAGAGGTGTTTCAGGTGAAAAACAATATTGCTATATAAGTAGTTGATTTTAAGTTATCAGTGACACCTGAAATTCAGAAGCTTTTTTTTTGGTTTGGGTTGGTTTTTTTTTTTTTCAGATACTATGTTTAGGTACTCATAGAGAGCTCATGGATAATTTTAGAATGGGATTTCCTGTGATTAATTTATTTGGATTCTTGCATGTGCACTTCAAGCTTTCTCCCTCATATTAAATCCATGCTCAAATCAATCTTTTGAAACAATTTCAGTATGAAGCCAAACATGTGAGAGCTATTAACATACTAATTTTGTTACTGGCTACATTGAATACTGTACATGATGATCTTCCTTACTGAATTCACAGTGAGGTTTTTGTGGATTTTTCAATAATCAATTTCCCGTTTTTTTTTTAAGAATACTTTTTAAAAAATATACCTTGTGAAGTGGTTGTTATCAGTTATTCACCAGTCTAGATGTGCATTGTATTTTCCTGTAGCATAATAATATATGTTGTGTTCCTTTTTATAAATCTTGATCAAGGATTTATTCTTTTTTTTTCCTGTAAGCTGTATATGCTCAAACGCTTAGATTAATTTCATATTATGTCACTTACCTTATTTTTCCTTTAATTCCTCTTTCATTCAGACTTCATTTATGAACCACGTGTGCAGCGTAAAACCAGGTTCATATGTGAACTTTGAAACTTGACAGTGGCAATGTACCATGCTGAGACTGTTACGTACACATTAAGCTGGTTAATCTGTTACTGATAGATCTTCATTCATATGGACATATTTGGTCAGTAATTCACACCGCTGAATTTTTGCAATTTGGCTGCGGTTACAGTTTTTGCAATCGCTTTAGTGATTGTATGAACTTGGTGGTTTTGAAAGTTACTTGAGTTCTGCCAGCAGTTAAATGTGAGAGTTATAATGGAGGCCCCGAAATTACTTTGTGTTGCATGTTCTTGAATGTGTGTCCATATATGCATGTGAAGAGCATACACACTTTATTGTATTATTGCGGTGAATTAATAATTGCAATATTTTCAAAGCACAATGTAAACCATATACAGATGTAAAGCTGTTTGCATAAAAATGGTGGATTAAAATAATCAAAAAATGGATTAAAATACAGGAATTATTTGTGAATCAGGAAGAAAACTGAAGGCTTGTACCACTGCCAGTCATGTGCATTAGCTGTTGACTTGATAGCTTGATACATTTCTCTTGCAAGCACAGTTCTTTAACATGCTGTAGTAGCATTAAAACCAGGAATAAAAAGATTGTCCAGGAAGGAGCTATCACTTGCTTTTTAGAGTTTTCCGCAAGTGGAAAAGTAACTCCTGTGCCTTTAATGGAAAATAAATACAAATATGTGCTTTTATGACCAGGTTCTAGTAAGAAAACAAAAGAGTGGAGTGAGCCCTTCTTGTCTGTTCACAAGGAAAGGTTTAGGTAAGCCGCCTCTGACTGCAAATCCCAGGTGGGTGGAGGCATGTTTACACCAAGTGTATTAAGACATGTGCCATTACATGAGAACAAAAGACTCTTATGTAGGCTCTGTGGTAGGAGGAAAGGAGGAAAGGACTTTACAAAGCCCAGTCCTGCTGTGGACATTGTCATCCAAAATGTAGCTCTGTGGGGGAGCCTGCAAGTCTTGGTTTAGTGCGGCAGCAGGGCTGTTCGCGTCTGCCACAGCAGTGAAGTGAGACTTCAGTTCCTCTAGAAGCTCCTGTTTCCTGCTGTGCTGCCAGAAGCACAGCCAATGCTTGGCAGAAGGTAGGAGCTAATGGTGCCTTCACAGCATCATGTAAATTCACATCACTCATCATGCATGAGCTCATAATTTGTGCTATTTGGCTGTAGATAGCTGTGTAATAATTTTGGTGCTGTAGGTTTTTAAGAGGACATAGACAAGTTAGTTGCTTTCAGAGAGCTCCCTGCTCTTGAGCCTGCCTATTCTGGTAAGAGGTGAGATATGAGGCATTACATTTTTTCCTGTATTGTATGTGTAGCAGAGGCCACTACTGGTAGTTTCCACTGTGAAAAGCCTTGTGCCTTAATGCTGTGCGCAGCTTTTGTGTCTCAAGGCGTATTTATGTTTAAAGTGTATAGCAAGGTTCCTTTTTTTGCTAAGTAGATACAAACTCCAAGAAGGCTGGGTGGTGGGTGACTCACTTGCAAAGCAAAAGGGTAGGTCGCTCTCATAAAACTGTGGATAATTGTGAAGATAAAATCCAGATGCTTCCTTTAATTTGACTAGAAGTCTTGACTTTAGTTGAATTGTCACAGTCTAGCTCTGTACTTTTCATCAGACTGTTCCTATGCACAGTAATGCCTCTTATGACATCTGAGGTAATGTATGTCCTAGCAGTGACATCCAACTGAGCCAGTAGCCTGCTGAGATAATTTAAGATGTGCATGGACAAGGATGTAGACTACCAAGAAAGGTAGAATCCCAGAAGCAGAGGGGTGTTGTATGCAAAATACAGCTTGCCCAGCTGGATGCAGAACGAGGCTTATAGGCTGGCAAAATGGCTGTAAAATAAATAGTGGTGTATAAATAAGACACTGCTTAAATGATAACTAAAACTTGGTTAAGCAAACTTCCCCACAAAAAAAGGCATTTCTTTCCATTATTATTATGAATGCAGTGCAGTCCAAGTTGGGACACATCTGGAAGGTCTTACAACAGCACAGGCAGAGGATTTTAAGAAGTTGTCTTCCTGGGAGGATATGACAGAAAAAAAAACCTGATTTATATACTTGCTTAAGGCTTCTCAAAGTACGTGGAAAGAGTCCTCCCCAAGGTGGCAGTATCAGCCTGCTCCACAGGTACTGTGAAACTGCTGGGGTCTCCTTGCTCTAGAGTCCTATGCTGAAATACCAGGTCAGAAACAAGCTAAAGCAGAAAATACATCAAGACTTGTGACATTTTTCTGTATCTGAATTAAGAAACGTAAAAAGCATGTCTCTTCTTTGTCACAAAAACTATCTTTTACTTTATATATAAAATGCAGACAGCATAGCACCTTAATGAATTTGAACAGCCATAATTGAAAGGTAGCAGTTAAGAAACTGTGTTATTTACTATCCCTTACATCATTGTTTTTCTAATAAAGACCTTTGTTTTCACTAGCTTTTAAGTTGAGTCGGTGACATTTGTTGTGGGTCTTTGGCTATGAGATCTTAAAATCTACTATCAGAGTTTTAATTTGCAAAGAACAAGTACAGAGTACTACGAAATTGCCCTGGATGCTTTTTAGCACTGCTCACTGTCAGTGGTTTTTTGTTTGTTTGTTTGGTTTTTTACTTTGTTTTTATATAACTTTACTTTTTAAAACTGAGCCTTTTACAGATTGGCAGGCAGGAGGGTTTTCTGTAACTGATAAAGGGAGCCTTGTACTGCTCACATAGAAATACTAAGCAAGTCTAGTGAGGAATTGTCAAGAATCTAAGGAATTAAGGCCCCTAATCTAATTGAAAATAAGTGGCATTTGGGTATCCAGCTTCTTTAGTTGCCTTTGAAAAACCAAGGCTAAAATAGTTTGCAAGTAACCGTTGGATTTGTATGTAGCTACAGTTAAGTAGAGTTGCAATGCATCTTAGTCACATTACAGTGTCAGCTGCTGTTCTTTTGTAGTCCCTGTGATCACCCACTTGGTTTGCACGCACCCCAGACAAGCTCTCCATGATGCTTGTTAGGGTATACCAAGCAGGCTAGATCTTGTAAACTGGAATAGCACAGCTTCTCTTCAGGCACATGGCATCCCTTACCATGTGTCATCTTTTAGTTCCCACGCCTTCCCAAGCCTTACAGCTTCTTTCCTGATGTGGGCTCTCATTTTAGCCCAAGATGATGCCATAATAAGTAATTTAAGATGTGCTTTGATGAGTTGCTCTTACTTAGAGAGAAGCAAGTGAGGCCATTTTATGGATTGCCACACATGGAGGCGAGTTCTTAGCCTTCCCAAACAACATGAGAAATCTGGGAAGGTATGCAGTCCATGTAGTCAGTGCAGCTTCAGTTCTGTTAGATGTAGATGTGTAATTTCTAAGAAAAACCAGGCATGTCACTAATGAGAGAGAGAGGGGACAGATTTAGTGGCGCTGTACTCCTTTTGGACTGCATTCACAACAAAAACTTCTGTGCTGATCCTAAAGGAACACATGCATAAAATACACTAATGTTTCCTTAAAAGAGATTACTACTTTTTCCCAATTTTTATTATTTTGGAACAAAAGTAAGCAATTGTCAGCAATCTACAAGATCATGTTTCTCTTTGCAGTATAGGTGGCTGTGTAGGCTATGTGCTACTACATTGGCATTGCGAAGGGGAAAAGAGGGGGAGCATAAATGCAGAGTAACGCTGCAGTTGCACCAGGTTTTGGACAACATCTGTATAATTGTGTAACCAGCTCCTCTCATTCACACTGCATTTCTTACACTGGGTTATGAGTTCTGGGCAAGTACTGCTGGCAGAAAGGCAGATCAAGGAGCTGCCTTGTGTTTAAAAGAGAATTGAGTAGAACTGTTAACACAGTGAGAACCTCAGCCAGACTTTCTTTTTTTCTTTCTTCCTCTCTGTTCTCCCACTGAATCATTAAGATCCAAAAGATATCCTTTCCTTCATCCTCTGCAAATAATAGCTTCAAATTAGAAACCAGCATGCTGATCTGGTAAGTCTCTGCTGTGGAAGTATTGTGTCCCTTCAGCTGGCAGGAATGATGCTCTTTCAATCACTCTGCTTCTCAGTGCACTGAGAACAGAGCAGTGTAACAAGCCACAGGAGCACAGTCTCTTCTTGATTTCTCTTAGTATGGTTTGATGTGACATGGCTTTTCAAAATGTTGGGGGATGCATTGCAAAATAGGGTATGTCACACTGTCAGAGGCTGCCAGTTTCTTAATTCTTTCACTAATCCCCACCTTCTCCAGTTTAACTTATGATTTTCCCCATGGCACCATATCAATTTTTTTTTATATGCAAGGAATGTTTTTAATATACCATATTGTGTTATGCTGTCTCTTGAGCAGCTTAGAGATTATTTAAACTGTCTTGCTTTCACCTGCATTGCGAAGATATGTTTTCTCTAGTATAAAGGTTGGACGCAGTGCACAGGTATGGCCATAGGACTGTGCCGCAAGGCTGACATGTTTGTGTCTGTTCACTGCTTCATGTGAGATATGCAAAATATCTGAAGAAATAAAGGTGATGTTGTAAGTAAGACTATACATACATAAATAATATTTTAAAAAAAAAATATCCCAAAATCATAAAATGTTGATTTTGAAGGCATGTATTTGGGAAAGAAACAATAATTAGAAAGTATGAAAATACACTCTTAAGGAAAAATACTTTTTCCTTACACATACTTAGCTGAATGAACTCTGTGACTGGTGTCATACATCTTCTGTTGTGACAGCATGAGTCAGGGTACCACACTCATTCACCTTCTTGTGATTAGCCTCAAAATTCATCCATGTGTGTAAAAACATTTTGCCCTTGGGGCAAAAATGCTGTGAATTGAAAATATATCTGGAAGCTCAGGAAATCCAAATCTGGCTGCTCTTTCTGTAACACTCATTCCCTTATTCTGAGAAGCTGCACAATTTCTCAGTTTCCTCACCTAAATATTACGGAGATCATTCACCTCTTTTGAAGATGTGTAGTGGGATTGATTTAGCTGAAGGGGACATATTTCTGTAGCGCAATAACAGCATTTGAGTTTTGGGTTTTGGGGTTTTTTTAAGTATTCTTAGCATACTGTAAAATGCTCCATAGGGACTCAAATGACTTAAGACATACTTTCCAAAAATATTCCCATGATGCCTGGAAAGGGTATCACCATTGTAACACTAATAACCACACAAGTTACACTGATACACAGAAATAATTCAGGTCTTCAAGTGAAATTTTGTTTTGAATTGGAAAAAATAAGCTTACATAGGGAGTGTATGTTTTTACATTAGCTTCCCTATAGCCAAAGAGTGCTTGCCCGTTGTCATTGGCTAAAATTTTACAAAAACTTTTTTTAGATTCAGCACAAAATCATTGACTGGCCATGAAGAACAAACAAGAGTACTATTTTTTTCAGTCTACACCCACAACTCTTTCTTTAGAAACAGTATTTGTCTTAAATGAGAGAATGGATTTGTCTAAAAAAAAGATGGAAACTGTAATGCGGGAACAAAAACTGTCAACTGTCAGCATTTCCGTAACCTCACAAGACCCAATTTTCATCTCTTAATTTATAATCTTGGTGTAAAGAGAAAACATGTTGTTTTTCTTGTTTCAGATTTGAATAACTGGATGATTATATATAAATTGTCTGCATTTGTGCAGAAGATGCGATGTTTCTAACATCTGTCAGAGAGCTGCGTCTTAAATTCTTTCCCGCGATCATCTTTTGGGTGTTATTTTCTGGTAACTTGAGGACTTTAAACTGTTTTAGAGAATTCTTATTCTAACAAAAGGATATATCCATCCCAATTCAAGAAAATACTCTCTCTTTAGCATATATGCAGTTAGGATTCAGTGGCTAAATTATCAGTTTCCTTAGAAAAGACAAACTAGTGACAAATATTCAATGGTTATCTGAATTTTGATGTTTCCATGCAATGTATATTGAATAGGTTGCTACAGAGAGACAAATGTCAGGGGAAATCTTCCTTTTAATTATGAGAAATTTGTGCATGGTGATTTGGTACATCTTTAATACCATTACTTAAGCTGTTTGGATATAAAATAGATTGTGGTAGGATGTGAGAGAGTTCACTTGAGGCTGGCGGAGCGTGATAAAGACTTCATTCTGTAAGAGCTCTAAGCACAGTGTTTTTGACATATTTTCTCTATCTTTCAAACACATAACTTCACTGTAGCAATAAATAAAACAGACACTTTCTCAAAATGGTAAGTAGTAGCTTCTTAAAGCTGCAATTTTTAACCTACCTTTAGCACCAGAGTTCCACAGGGAGTACATGGACCTGACAGGCTTTGCAAATAGATGTGTCGAGAAAGGCAGACCTCTACCAGAGCATGCTGAGAAAGCATGAGAAATCATAATATGGAAGGAATTTACAAAAAAAAAAAAAAAAGTGTCTGCTGTAGTAGATGCAAGATTCAGTGGCTGTGAAATATGCACTATATCGCACTGGCTAGTGCTGCATTGTTCAATATTTATCCACAAAACTTGGCGTGCTATTTCAGTCCCCATGATAATCACTATTATGGAAGACTGAGCTTGTGGACACTGGCAGCTGAAAAGAGGAGTTATGCAGATGACTTCACACTGTTTAGAATTTCTGCATTTGGGGAATATTACGGAATTGCTAACAAATTAGTCTTTTTTAATTGTAGTGACATGTATGCATTTCCTGCCCCAACATGTCCATGCTTATTCATAGCACACCAAAAGAATCACAGATTATTTTTTTTTGCCTTTGAATACAAACAGCATGAAGAAAGATATTTTTCTAGGCATCAAAGAAAATGAAGTCAAAATGACCAATTCAAACACAGAAAACTGAACAGAAAACTAAATATTGGCCTGGTTTATACTATTTAATGATAACAAAACCAGCTATTAAAGAAAACAAAGAGCGGCAAAAGAAAGGGAAGAGGGGATTTGCCTACAGTTTGTATTAAATCATGGACAAAAAGTTGGTAGAAAAAATTCTAATTTGGACTATAATGCAGTGAAAAATAGCCTTTTTGGATCTTAGCACAAAGATGATGTGTTAATTCAGGCTGTAATCTGAATAAAACATATTGGGTACTCAAGTCTGCCCTTGCATGAGTGATTTTTATTTACATTGTTTCACCTTTCATGTTTCTTGGATCTGAAGGTACCTAACCTCACTGAAGCACAAATTTAGACATTGGAGTCCCTTAACTGCAGCTATGTCAACAGTGAAACACAGCAAACCAACCGTTTATAGAGTGAGAATTTAGATATATCAAAGGAAAACTGGGGATCGTACAGCAGAGGGTAATTTCTTACGTGGAATATTGCCAAGGAATACCAGATATCTGCTGGCAGAAATGTCATATGAGCATGCTTTTGTTATTCCTTCTTCCCCAATACTGGGTTTACACAGTATAAAACAAAAGAAACAAACAAAACCAAACAGAAAAAGGGAGGAGGGGAACCCTGCCCAAACTGAAAGGGAAGAGTGCAGGCATATGTTGTCCTTTTATATAGAGGGAGTGCTGCTTGTCTGCAGGCCTAGCAGAAAAGGACAAAGTGTTGCACTAGTGATGAAAAGGCACTACAAAGTAGGGCAGAAGCTGTGAACTGAAAGATGTGATTAGACTGGGTGATGCAGGAGAAGCACCCTCATTTGTTTGTTGGTTGGTTTAACCTGAGTCTAACCTGAACCTAAAGAATAAGTGTGAGGAAACCTGATGAAACAAATAGTAAGATTGTACAGCTTTGCTTAGTGCAAGCTAACCACTTCTTTTTTTTTTTTTTTTTTTTGTGTGTGAAAGCCTTAGAAAACCTGGGTGTCAATTTATATCTGATTTATATCTGATACCAGGAATGTAAATTCAGACTATATGCAGGATTAGGAAAAGGTATTGTGCAGCTACTGGTGGGTTTCTCTG